TGCATGATCTTCAATGTGTTATGTTCCCACAATTGAGATTAAGCTTTTTCAAGTTATACATTTGAGTCAAATTTTTGCATTCTTATTACAAAACCATGATGATTTTTAATTTACTTCTTGTAAATAAATTATCTCTGGCTTGCCCTATAAGTAGTCGATGGCTAACAATTTGAGGCACTTGCCCTCAATGACCACAACTTACTTAAGCTAGCAGGTCATGGACATCAAGATCAGTCTTGCATCCCATGGGATAGCGCGTGCAATCCATGCCATGCCACCGGGACGCAAAGGACCTCAAGGGTAATGGTTTGGAACTCACTTCAAACCCTCAACCTGACACCATCAAGCTGTCACGAGACCCTATGAGCATGGAGAGCATGATGGTTGAATATGCATCAACCGACATGTTTGGAGACTATACATTTAGTCCCTTAGTCTCCTTAGTGATCTATTTATTTATGTCCATTTATGATGTTCTAATAAGAACATCATTATTGTTGTCATTATATATTGTATATCACAATATATTGTATCAGCACTTTGATACAAATTCATTTGTATGTATTCTATATATCCGACATTAATTTTCTTGAGAATCTTCATATCTATATATAGATTTCTACGGGAGTCAATCCGATGAAAATTGATATGTGCCTTGTGGACATTTGCATCACAAACTCTATACTCAAGGAAGTTCAATGTTTCCACTCTCATTGAGAGAAAGGAGATATTTTAAAATCGCTAGATGCAATGAGGTATTTGTTGGCTCAACTCGAGTCATATTTACTATCCCCGTGGGTACTCGAGTAACGTCGGGATGTTTCATTGCTTCTCAAGTTTAACTCGTACCCTATTAAGCTATAGAGATATTCGTCAAAAATGGTTTCCATAGCGAAACCTATGCCGACAGCAAAGAGAAATATCTTCTCTTTATCACATGCAACGGATATGGCAAGCACATTCTCTATGTATCATCTGGGTTGTACTACACATACTACAGAACCCGTAGCACATGTTGCATGCGAGATAGTTTTCCAGAGTGTCTTTTGCATGACAAACTTGGCATTCCAGCTTTGGTCATCATTGACATTGGGTTGAAACCGAAACTATCAATAATTCCAATGGTTTATGATTATTATGATGCTTAATTCTTACAATATTTGGATTTTGTGTGCACTACATGTGACACAGGGAGGCAAATTTTAAGGCTCACACACCTTAAAGTGTATGCATAACCACTCAGACTCCTTGAATGCATCAAGTCGAGGTAAATGGCTCTTCCCAACCATTGAGTAGACTATTCAGGTATTCCATGGTTCTAAAAGACATATCTACATGATGGTCTTAAGTGTGTGCTTTATTCACACGAAACCATTGGCTTATTATCCTGACAACGATTTCAACCAAATCGAATGGATAATATTGCAGAATTCTCCTTGAGTGCCTTCTCTATGGCCCTCAGATTAAAGTTTAGCAATTTGTCCTAATGCCTAGACTCAAAATGGTTTGGTAGAATCCTATCAAAAGAGTTAAGCTCATTGCATTATCTTTACTTTGTAATTGCAACTTACCAACTTTACATTGGAGTCATGCAGTTTTACACGCTCATGACAGAACTGCATAATATTATCCCCCTCTGATATGTGGATATCTACCAAGTATTTCCTATCTGCGGTAATTCGGTTGCATACCGATATCACCATCCGGAGTACATCATTGGCCCCTCAACATATAGTTGGGATCTATGTGAGGAATAACTGTATTACCGTCAATACCTCAAGCCCCTCACATGGGGAGTTATTCAAGGCCAGTATGCTGATTCAATGAGGAACATTTCCAGGCATTAGGGGGAGATTTCAAGTACCATAAAGAATGCCAGGAAATTAGTGGAATGTTCAACACATTTCTGCCTCAAATCCACATACTCAAAGATCTGAACCATGCGTTCAGAACATTTGCAACACATTGCAAATAACCTGCCAGATTCATTTGCTGACTATAAAGGTGTCACAATCCTACAATCCTGCAAAATATGACCGAAAGAGTGAAGGTACCAATAAGAATCACTCCACTCCCCGTTTGAAGCAATAGGGGGAGATGTATGGTAATAGTACATCAGGATTTAGCTTCTTGCAAGCAAGGATATCAAGGCCTGTGAATCACTAAATGCAAATCAACTTCACATTGATAGACACCTAATGGGTAGTATACACCCAGTAGACGGGAAACCTCCACCAACCCAGGTCATAGTGCACACAATGACCGGGACATCGAAATACCCGACTCAATCGCATTAGGAAATCGCGAGCAGTCACCATGGGTAACGATATTTCCATCAACTATATATTGATATATAGATTCTGGAGAAACATATAACCGAAAGTCTACAATTGTCGACATACATTTCTCAACTAGATTGAAAAAATCTTTCAAGTGATTCAGATCCAAAGACCATGGCCATGGCAAAGTGTGAACAACACTCGGACTGAACTCAAGCAAAGGGTATAATCTTGGTAGAAATAATCTTGCTCAATAATGGGAAGGTATTCGTAAGCAATACTTACACCAGTTTTTTTCTGAAAACAGAATTGAGAACAACAAGGTGGTGAAATATAGAGCAAGTATTGTAGCACAAGGGTTCACGCAGATACCCAACTATTCTCAGAGGTGGAATATCTTTCTGATAACTTATATCATTGGCAGCATAAAATCATCTATCTTTGCAGTTGATAGATGTAGTGATTACATATCCATGTGGATCACTAGATTCAGACATATATGATTGATTCCCGATGAAATCTTAATTCTGAATCGAAATACAAAATGCAACATACATTGTGTAGAATCAGTAAGTCACCATACGACTTATTGTTGTCGGTACATATGGTACAACCGACGTAGTGGGTTCCTTATGCACAAGGATTACTCCTACAATGATGATTATCCATATTTGTGTGTCTGCAATGATGACACATGTAATTATCTAAATGACGGAGTTTAAAATAAAGGATTTGGGTAAACCAAAATACCGCTCGTTACTACAATTTGAGCACCTTCATTCATACATTATGGTTTACTATGTTGTCTATATCCAAATATATTGGAGAAATTCATTGTGGATAAATCTTATCCATCCATAACTCTCATGGTAGTTCATTCTCTAGACGTAGAGGAAGATCTATTTAGACCAAGAGATGATGGAAATAAGATATTGGAACTCAACGTTCCGTAATGCCATTGGATCCACCAAACACAATTGGTTGGTACTCAAGAATATCTTTCGATATCTCCAAGGCATCAAACATTTTGTCCTGGTTTTTCAGTTTCACAGACATGTGAACACCGATATCGTTGGATACATCGATCAGATCCCCACTATGTCAGATCGTAGACAAGCTTAGTGTTACTACTAGGTGTGGTAGCCCTCTCATGAAGAGTCTTCGAAACAGACATCATGGCTATATCCACCAACCATTATCTCAAAGATAATGTTGCTTGTGTTGCTCGGATGCAAACAGGTTACATAATAAGCAATATCACTATATTGCATATCTTGTAAGTCAAATCATGTGACTGATTTGTTCACCAAGTCTCTACCAACTTCTACATTCCGGAAATATGTTCATGAATTGGTATATGACGGCTTCAGAATTTGCAAGAATCAAGGGGAGTATCTTCCTGAATTGTTCCTGTTAAAAGCATCATATTATACTCTTTTTCCCTTGATGAGTTTACTTTATAGGTTCTCATGAAGGTTTTTAATAAGGTAATATCAACACAAGACAATATGTCATATTTTCTGTTTTCCCCACCGGGTTTTTTAAGAAAGTATATACGACATATTTATTGTCCTTTAATTCTATGGGGTTTTCTCATATTGAGTTAAACAGACAATAATCATTATATGTTGCATTATTTTCTTCTTATTTTCCCACAGGGTTTGAAGGAGTTTTAGCAACATATCAAACACCCATCTCCTCACATTTTTCCCACAGAGTTTTTCGAGGAGACTTACCTAAGTTGATGATGATGATACTACATGGACACGCATAGATTAGGGGGAGTGTTAAGACTTAATTAACACAAGTTAATTAAGAGATTAAATCTCCACTTATCCAAACTGTCATACAAAGAGATGCAACTCTTGTAACCGTCGTGTCCCTCCGGATGCGCCCCTTCGGGGACTATAAATATGTAACTTGTCATCATCAATAGACACAGTTTTTCATTACTATCAGATTGCGTCTCGTTCTATTTCAATAGCGAGCGCCGCAATTTATAGACGCGCGGGAAGCGGCGCGCCAAAAGTAGCACGTGACCTGCCGCCCTTTGCCGTGCCGCGCGCGCTTGTTTCCCGCCAACGCTGAAGCGCGTGAAACCATCCAGCATGCACTAAAGAACAAGTTTACCGCGCGGGCGTCTCTTGGCGCGACTGTTGGAGATGCTCTTAAGAGAATGCAGGCCCTCAGACTGATTTGCTAGGATACAAACGAGGCAGCAGTATCTACTCAAGTTCAACAACTTAGCAGTATCTACTCAAGTTCAACAACTTAGCAGTATCTACTCAAGTTCAACAACTTAGTGGTTCCGAGGATTTGTCAACTTGTTCAGTTTGTACCAGATAGCAAAATTGAAAAACTTGACAGTATCTGACAGAACAATGTGATGAGTACAAATGAATTATAGCCTGGATCCATGAACAAATACTGGACCAAATATTGGCGGTACATAGGGTGCATCCTTCATTGCATAGCACATGAGCTCAGGGGAAAACGGTCGAAACACTTCTCATCTACTTACAGAATCATGGGTGGTTTGTTACATCGGCAGTAGGGGGAAAGAATACATGACATCGAGGTCTCGGACGAGAAAAAGAATAATAATCACATGTGTCATCGCCTATATCCCGTGTGGCTGCAGGCAATCTCAAATTCCTGGGGTTTCTAGTAGACGACAACTGGATTTGTTCTGAACTAAACTTCAAGCAGCCGTCTGACGGATCACCATCCTACAAAGGCACAGTTCTTCCGAGCATGTTCAGGGATGAGCTTCACCAGGATGTCCATTGGCACGCCCTTCAACTCTGTTCAAGTCCAGCACACCAGAGTTGAAGATAAGTAGGGTTATAAACATTTGATTAGTGCTAGTGCGAGTGCGAGTTGATGTTGTAGACTAACCATGGGGCTTAAAGTTAAAGAGGGGAGGAAGAAAACGGCCGTTCGGTAAACGGGTGTTTGGGTCCCGGAGTTCATCGAAGAATGGATGAATTAATGCTTCCAACTGTATCAGGAAAGCAGGTAGGAATGTAAGCTACAGCTTGCACAAAACAGCATCCGTTCGAATACAGGGAAGCAAAAGCATTTAATTTAACAGTGATGACTATAAATCAAACTTCTCTAGGAAACAGTATTTGCTCAGCAACACTCACAGCAGTTGAACGCAGGCTTGGTGAATATTGCAAGAGTCTGGAGACAAGATCTACTGCTTCAGCAGGCATTCTTTTATGGAAGATCTGATGGAAATAAAAATAATAATGTTATACTGAAGCCTTAGAAGCAAATAAAACAACTAACAAAAGGTTCCTACCTTGTGCCATGGGTGAGCTTTGATTTGTGGGAATTTAAACTCTGTATAATTTGGATTCATGCACTTAATTTCTTCTCTTGTAGGGGTACCTAAAACCTGATGGGAAACAATGTAAGTAGGTGTAAATACAACTAAAAGATGGTAACTTCCTTGGAAACAATGTAAACAGGAACAAATACAATTAAACAGACAGCAACTTCCAGGGGAGAAAGATTGTGAATGTACCTTGATGATTTCAACAAGCTGATCAACACCACTGTCGCCAGGGAATATAGGCTATTAGGAAAGAGAATGGATCTTAGGCTGACAGATCCCATAAGCTGGATAGTTTAATAATCACATATAAATTGTGTGGTCATTTACCTGTCCTAGAAGGAGTTCAGCAAGAACACAGCCAGCAGACCAAACGTCAATTGCCGTTGTGTATTCAGTAGCACCAAATATGAGCTCTGGGGCTCTATAGTACCTTGAACAGATATAGGAAATATTTGGTTCTCCTTTTACCTATCAAAAATAAAAAGTAGTTAGACAACATGAAAATGACAATGTCGTGCAAGTGTGAATATCAGGTAATGTATGATCATACCAACACTTTCGCACTTCCGAAGTCACATAATTTCAATTGGTGTGTATGTGGATTCACCTGGCAAAAATAATTTTTCATCAAATCAGCTGACTATACCAAAAGTAGTGCTTAACTATACATTAAATGCTTCAGGAAGTGTTCAATTGATTTGTAATGTACGAACCAGAAGATTTTGAGGCTTGATGTCTCTGTGGCATACTCCAATGCTGTTGTGAATGTATGCCAAAGATCTACATATCTGTCAATTATAATGAATTTAACAACTTATGGTCAGTACTAAGCAGTGCTTGAATAGATTTAACAGACTTTTGGCAGGAAAAGAGCATGAACTTTACCTGATACATGTACAGTTTTGCATATATCAAGGGCATGCGTTGGTTCATCTTGTTGTAATGCTTAATGACACGATGAGCAGTCTCCGGCACATACTCAAGCACCAGGTTGAGGTAAAGCTCCTCCTTCTCAGTCTTTGAGAAAAAACAATGCTTTAAAGCCACAACATTTGGGTGGTCAAGAACTCGCATCGTTTGCAGCTCACGGTTCTTATATCTCTTGTCTTGAAGAACCTTCTTTATAGCCACCGTCTCCCCAGTTTCAAGACACTTAGCCTATGCAAGATCATTCAGAAAAAGTTGGAGCCATCAGGAATTGCTAAATAAAAGTATACACAAATTAACACATCAAGACACTAAAAAATACTGATTTATCCAGTAACAAACCTGGAAAACAGTTCCAAATGACCCATTACCAACCACGCGCTCAGCCATGTAGCTAATGGTCTGCAATGCAGATACATAGCTTAGTAGAGAGAAATTATTGAGCTTCGGAGAGGATTGCAATAACACCAGTTAATATAGATTCTTTTACATACCTGTTTTGCTTGCCCATTTCTTCCCTCAATGCTTGTGACTATAATATGGCCTGGTTCCGTCCCATTGCCGTTGACTACTATATCCTCAGGGTCCTGCATTGTTCAGACACAAAATTAGGAACTGATCACCTGCCAAAAGACATAAGGTGAAGTGGTCAACCAGTCTAGGGAGATTACCCTGTCATCCCTTATGCTCATATTGCCCATCTCGTTCGGAAGTCGGTCGGCATCACCACTAGTACTCGTGTCATTCTGAAAGCGCGAGGAAGGACGCACCGCACCAACCGAGGCCATAATGTGGTAGAATTACCCAATAAGAGTTACAGGCTACCGTTCAGAATGCACCGTACTTGGTTAACCTGCAAAAGGCAGCATTACTGTGAGTCAGAAACGTACAGGTAAGTCGATCGTCTAAAGGAGGTGACCAGGATAATTGTCTAAGGACGTCCACTTCTGGTTGCAGACAATTTCTATTGCTTGATAGGCTTGAAGATACTGAAAAGTTTGTAATTTTACACTCCCAACGCCCTCTCGACAGCCAAATTCCTAGCAAGATTGGAGCCTGTTCTCGGTGGCTCAAACCAGTTCTTGTCACAAGCCAGAAAATTAGACTGGTTCCCACATATCATAAAGCTCTGTCTAAAAGTCTGATCATGCAGGACATACTCAGCAACTCGATACCCACCGTTAGCTTCCGAAGCTAGTTGACCAATTCGCGTCTCCTTGCTTGGTACGGTAGGCATATATCGAAATTAAAAACGACACAATTCTCGATCCAGATCACCGTATTTGCATCGAAGCCTGCATCCATCCTCACCAACTACCCTCCAATCCAAGACATTCAGGATCGCGGAGAACCCAGCAAGAGGACACAATCGAGCTCCGAGCCCCAAATTTTGCAAGCCAGAAGAGGAAAAAAAAAAGGAAAACAAACACCTATCATCCGAACCGAGGGCAGGCCATCACCTAAAACGCAGCACCCTAAGACCACCGAACCCTAGAACCACGGCTTCTCCCTCGCCCTCGCGCAAGGACCCGCCGGAATCGACGGATCGGAGAAAACGGAGGATGCCCGAATTGATATCGATTACCTACCGGGTAAGAAGGCCGGCCTGCCCGACGCGGGGATCCGGGGCGGAATCCGCCTGGCGCGGGGGTGAATTTCCCCCCTCCCTCCCCAGCTCCGGCGCGGGACGTGGGGGGAGGATCGGAGGAGAGGAGGGGGCGGCGAGCGAGCGAGCAGAGCAAATGGGAGGGAGGGGTCGCCAGGGGAAAAAAAGAGGTTATAATGCGGAGGAGGAAAAAAAAATGTGATTAATTAATTAATTGCGTTGGGTTCATTAACTCGTTGATTAATTAATTAGCAAACCTGTCTGTTTGACCGTTGAAAGGTTCTGGCCCCGGGGCGCCCTCATCGTGTCATGTGATGTGGGGCCGGTTTTATCTTTCTTTGTACTACTTTCTGGCAATTTGACAATTTTGACCTTGGGATGAAATCAATTCGCGGAATGAACTGCCCATGAAACTATTTCACAGCACTGATATTTTTGTGTAGCGTCCGCCACGACGGCGCCACACCCTACGGTGCAGCGCCTAGCTCAGGGGCGTTGCACTCCAGTCCAGCGTGGCAGCCCCTGGGCCCGTACCCAGTAGTGCAGCGCCTCCGTGCTAGGCGCCACACATGTAATGTGCAGTGCCTAGCGTTCGGGCGCTGCACTGTGACTTAGACGCCAGCCGCCCGCTCCTCCCTCCCCCCACCCCACCCCATTCGTTCAGTTGCAAAAGAAGCAGCGGCGCCGGCGGCTTCCTCCTCTCCCCCTCTCAATCCCCTCTCCTAAATCCTTCAGATCCGACGATTTGGTCCGTGCATTTCTTCACCAATCCATCTTAGAAGGTACTCTCCTCCGATCCCCTTCTTTCTATCCATAGAAAATATGATATTTTGAAGATTTGGGGAATCCTTGTTTGATTAGATTAGATTTGAATCTTGCATGTATTAGAACTTTGCATGTATTACAACCCCTGTTTGTTTGATTTGTGGAACCCAAGTTTAGTTTATGGAAGAGTTATTTGTATGAAGTAGGCATAATTTATGGAAAAGTCATTTGTATGAAGTAGGCCTAGTTATTTGTGGAACCCTAGTTTATTAGTTTTGTTTGATTTGATATGGTTGGATACATAGATTGGTATGGTTGCATCTAGTAGGCGTACTTTAGTTTATTTGTATAAAAAAGATAATCGTGTTGACAAGAAAGCTTTATTTCAAAATTGTTAGGATGGTTTGGCTTCTCGATAATCACTGGGACAAACAATACCGGTCGTACGCTATGGCGGTGGAGCATCGGGTAATAATTAAAGTGGCCTGTTTTATGAATTTCGTATTTATTTCAAACACAAATGCCCCATATGCAATGTTATGAATTGTTTGTTTGTAGGAGCTTGCACCTTTGAAGCTTCGTTCTCACGGGGTCACCCATTGGGTGGATGCTCTATGATGAGCGATACACACCGTATGTAAGGGAGACAGGACTTCTCCCTTTCATTCATATGGTCAGACGGTCGACGCCACTCAACAATGCTCCAGCACTCATCGCGCTTATTGATCATTGGCGGTCGGAGACACATAGTTTTGAAGGAAATATGCCCTAGAGGCAATAATAAAGTTATTATTTATTTTCTTATATCATGATAAATGTTTATTATTCATGCTGGAATTGTATTAACCGGAAACATAATACATGTGTGAATACATAGACAAACAGAGTGTCACTACTATGCCTCTACTTGACTAGCTTGTTAATCAAAGATGGTTATGTTTCCTAACCATGAACAAAGAGTTGTTATTTGATTAACGAGGTCACATCATTAGTTGAATGATCTGATTGACATGACCCATTCCATTAGCTTAGCACCCGATCGTTTAGTATGTTGCTATTGCTTTCTTCATGACTTATACATGTTCCTATGATTATGAGATTATGCAACTCCCGTTTGCCGGAGGAACACTTTGGGTGCTACCAAACGTCACAACGTTACTAGGTGATTATAAAGGAGCATTACAGGTGTCTCCAAAGGTAGATGTTGGGTTGGCGTATTTCGAGATTAGGATTTGTCACTCCGATTGTCGGAGAGGTATCTCTGGGCCCTCTCGGTAATGCACATCACATAAGCCTTGCAAGCATTGCAACTAATGAGTTAGTTGCGAGATGATGTATTACGGAACGAGTAAAGAGACTTGCCGGTAACGAGATTGAACTAGGTATTGGAATACCGACGATCGAATCTCGGGCAAGTAACATACCGATGACAAAGGGAACAACGTATGTTGTTATGCGGTCTGACCGATAAAGATCTTCGTAGAATATGTAGGAGCCAATATGAGCATCCAAGTCCCGCTATTGGTTATTGACCGGAGACATGTCTCGGTCATGTCTACATTGTTCTCGAACACGTAGGGTCCGCACGCTTAAGGTTACGATGACAGTTATATTATGAGTTTATGCATTTTGATGTACCGAAGGTTGTTCGGAGTCCCGGATATGATCACGGACATGGCGAGGAGTCTCGAAATGGTCGAGACATAAAGATTGATATATTGGAAGCCTATGTTTGGATATCGGAAGTGTTCCGGGTGAAATCGGGATTTTACCGGAGTACCGGGAAGGTTACCGGAACCCCCCGGGAGTTAAATGGGCCATGATGGGCCTTAGTGGAAAAGAGAAGAGGCAGCCCTACATGGGCTGCACGCCTCCCCCTTCCCCTAGTCCTATTAGGACTAGGAGAGGTGGCCGGCCCCCTCCCTCTCTTTTCCCCCTCCACGAATCCTATTCCAACTAGGATTGGGGGGGGGGGGAATCCTACTCCCTGAGGGAGTAGGACTCTCCTGGCGCGCCACACCTTGGTCGGCCAGCCTCCCCCCTCTAGTCCTTTATATACTGAGGTAGAGGCACCCTAGAACACACAAGTTGATCCACGTGATCTATTCCTTAGCCGTGTGCGGTGCCCCCAGCCACCATATTCCTCGATAATACTGTAGCGGAGTTTAGGCGAAGCCCTGCTACTGTAGTGCATCAAGATCATCACCACGCCGTCGTGCTGACGGAACTCTTCCCCGACACTTTGCTGGATCGGAGTCCGGGGATCGTCATCGAGCTGAACGTGTGCTCGAACTCGGAGGTGCCGTAGTTTCGGTACTTGATCGGTTGGATCGTGAAGACGTACGACTACTTCCTCTACGTTGCGTCAACGCTTCCGCAGTCGGTCTGCATGGGTACGTAGACAACACTCTCCCCTCTCGTTGCTATGCATCACATGATCTTGCGTGTGCGTAGGAATTTTTTTGAAATTACTACGAAACCCAACAGTGGCATCCGAGCCTAGGTTATTTATGTTGATGTTATATGCACGAGTAGAACACAAGTGAGTTGTGGGCGATATAAGTCATACTGCCTACTAGCATGCCATACTTTGGTTCGGCGGCATTGTTGGACGAGACGACCCGAACCAACATTACGCGTACGCTTACGCGAGACCGGTTTCCCCGACGTGCTTTGCACATAGGTGGCTTGCGGGCGACAGTCTCTCCAACTTTAGTTGAACCAAGTGTGGCTACGCCCGGTCCTTGCGAAGGTTAAAACGGAGTCTATTTGACAAACTATCATTGTGGTTTTGATGTGTAGGTGAGATTGGTTCTTGCTTAAGCCCGTAGCAGCCACGTAAAACTTGCAACAACAAAGTAGAGGACGTCTAACTTGTTTTTGCAGGGCATGTTGTGATGTGATATGGTCAAGACATGATGCTGAATTTTATTGTATGAGATGATCATGTTTTGTAACCGAGTTATCGGCAACTGGCAGGAGCCTTATGGTTGTCGCTTTATTGTATGCAATGAAATCGCGATGTAATGCTTTACTTTATCACTAAGCGGTAGCGATAGTCGTGGAAGCACAAACTTGGCGAGACGACAACGATGCTACGATGGAGATCAAGGTGTCACGCCGGTGACGATGGTGATCACAACGGTGCTTCGGAGATGGAGATCACAAGCACAAGATGATGATGGCCATATCATATCACTTATATTGATTGCATGTGATGTTTATCCTTTTATGCATCTTATCTTGCTTTGATTGATGGTAGCATTATAAGATGATCTCTCACTAAATTATCAAGAAGTGTTATCCCTGAGTATGCACCGTTGCGAAAGTTCTTCGTGCTGAGACACCACGTGATGATCGGGTGTGATAGGTTCTACGTTCAAATACAATGGGTGCAAAACAGTTGCACACGCGGAA